GGGTTTTTTGTGTGTGCTGATACTGATTTAAGTGTGTTTTATCAATTGAATTGTGTATTTTTATCGGTTTAATATTAATTTGAGAAACATTTGCGCAATTATCGCACGGCCTACAAATTTAGTATCACCATCTTTTTATTCTACCGGGCCTGCGCTTTCAGAAAATATATGGTTTGGGGGGTCTTTTAGAAACGCTAGCAACGCAGCAGTTGAAAATCAAATCAATAGTGAAAAATTGCAAAAATGTTCCGGAGGGCTTGGCAGCGTAAGGGTTAAAGCCCCATTCTTTCTAGTCTAGTCTTTGTTACGCTTTGAATACTACAGGTGAAACACAGCAAACCTTTTAACTTGAGTCTCATCATATCATAGGGGTCTATTCACAAAGCTGCCGAAGGATCTGGCCGTAGCTTCGGCCGATCCTTCGGCAGGCTTCGGCCCCAGGGCCCCTTCGGTTCAGGAGAACCGAGGGGGTGCTGTACGAGCTATTCACAATAGTCGAGCGCTGAGCCGTGCTGAAAGCCAAAGCTGGCCATTGGCCGGCCGACAGCCTGCTTCTGACAGCTGGGCGGAAGCTCCACATGTACTGTAGTTATCAAAATCAAAATATATCACCACAAAAATACTTTAAAGGTAAAAATATAAATCTATACATAATGTGGTCTATACTCAATTTAGCACAGAAATGTGAGAACATTAACTCCAAGGCCCATTTCCAAGTACACATTACTATTTTATCCTTAACCTTGGGTCAGAGGACATAATTAAACTCTTGGAATAGCACTGTGTTTCTGTCACTGTTTCAATTCGTTGGACTGATTGTGCTATTAAAAAAAATAATGGCCTTGTGGAGGTAGCCTTAGATGACTTTGTGGAATTTGAGTAAGTCTAAATTAACAGTTCTGCATCAATCTGGAACCTCAATTATAATTGCTGTTAGGGCTAAATTTTAGAAGGGAATTATCATATCAAAATATGAATGTTGCTTTATTTATCTTACTTTACACATGAAAGATCAACCAACAGATAAAGTTACAGTAGATTAACTCAAGTGGGCTTGTTTATAAGGGTAAAGAGCACCCCTATCAACCAATCAGAATTTGACTTTTGGTGTTCTGCCTTTACTAAAGTCCAATTATTTTTAAAGGGGTGCTTTTATAGATTAGCATACATTTAGCACTGTGCAGGAGTGTCTTCTCTTAAGATTTTGTATCCTCAACTTTCCCTGGATCCTGTGGTGAGGCTGAGGGATGTCAACCTTGTCTAGAAGAAGTGGCCAAAAGTTGTGTGCAAACCCAACTTGATGTGTGGGTCTTTGAAAGATCTGCACAGATAATCTATAACCCCCCTCCTTTGAGATTAAGGGTAGCTGAGTAAAGAATGCTATTTTTTTTCCAATAAACCATAATGTATACCTATATAGGACATACAGAGTTTTGGGTATTATTATAATTTTACATGGATTTACCAAAGATATCCAAGGATATAACAGAGTAGCAGATGGTGAAAAAAAATATAAGATTAGCTAGCAGTGGCACTTCAAAAGGGATGCCCCCATACACTCTTCTCAGCGCCTAGATCTTTTGAGTCTCCTAACAGTTCACACTGGAAAACAAATGTTGACTTCACCCACATTAGCCACTTTAATTAAAACAATAAAAACATGCCCAGGTCTGTTTTTTCTGGGCCCCACACTGTATCTGCTCTTTGTGAAAAAGCTGCCTTTGGAAGTGAGTCTACAAGGGGCATAAGCCACATGGTGTTAGCTGACATCAGAATTTTTTTTTATTTACACTGCAGAAATCAGTAAATGGACTGCCATGGGGGGAGATACATTGGGATTGACATCTTTCTTATGCCCTCTACTTTCTCCTGAGCACCAGGGGTACCAAGACCCAGTAACCGTGAACACTGAGTACCCATTGTATTGAAAAGGGTGCGCTTTTGTGTCTGAAAATAAATGTAGTAACTATAGCCCTCTAAATATCGAGATACCAAGGACAAAATGGCCTAAAACCTGCTATATCTCAGAATATTTTATAATTTATTATTCTTATTCATTGTTCAAACAAAAATATACAAAAAAATCACCGCTATAATCACCCATGTAAGTCATAGAAATCCACACATAATTAAAAACCATTATGTAAAACCATGAATTTATAAATAATTTTGATGCTAACATCCCAATTCATTACACATATATACTATATAGAGCATGTTTGTCCCGGTGTCCTTTATATGTAGTCCAAATCTTAATTTACAGCTATCAGCCCACAAAACACTTATATAATATGCAGCATATCCAAATACTGTTTTGTGCCTAATCGCCAAAGCGCATGATTAGACATATCAATCATTCACATGATTTGTGTTGTTGAAAAATATAGTTCAGTTCCTCCAGTATTTGCACTTCTAGACTTAAAATAAACAATAAAGGTGATCAGCGCCAGTAAGTGTAATGTGGAAATAAGAGCTACCAAGCACTAAGGAGATAACTAAATATCTGGAAAATGTGAAAAACAATATTGTGCCGAGCTAATAATCATACATATCTAATAAATTTAAACATATATAAATGAGTCACAAATATGAGCCTTCAAACAAATGAGGCATAGAAAATATCTACACAAAGACAAAAAAGCAATATAGACAAAAAAATTCCCAAGGAAAAAACAAAAGCAAACAATGGTGATTGTGCAAAATAAATTCCTCAGATGATTTGCAGCCAATCTGCATATAACTCTCAGGTAAGGATAATCACACAATGCAGGCAGACCTTAACCTCCACCCAGTGAGTGATGACAACAAGTGAGTGCTCACCTGGGGAGGTAGACCCACAGAACTAGGTCAAATGCGCTTTTTCCCTTCTTAATGGTGGAGGGAAGCCCATGCACAGAAAAGGCTATAAGGTCTCCTCAGATCACAAGTATCTGTGGAGGTAGACCCACAGAGCTAGGTCAAATGCGCTTTTTCCCTTCTTAATGGGGGAGGGAAGCCCATGCACAGAAAAGGCGATAAGGTCTCCTCAGATCACAGGTACCAGTATAAATCCAGGTGGAAAGAAAAAAAGGACAAGGACATGTTCGTCCGGCTCAGCTCAGTGCAGTGAAATCAGCAGGGCAGAGCTTCTGATGTCACTGCACTGAGCTGAGCCGGACGAACAGGTTTTTTTTATCGCTTTGCTGCCATTTGCCCTGCTGGCCTGATCCAGCAATACCCAAAGCCTGTACTGTTTACACCATTGTGAGTACGCATTTTTATTTAATAAATTGCATTTTATTGGACGTTATTGTCCTTGTCCTTTTTCTCTTTCCACCTGGATTTATAGATGATGATTGGTCACATCAAATTAGAACATACAGTACTCGTGACAGACGTGTGTTTAGGCAATTCCAGACATTGGATCTCCCTCCTCCATGCAACAGACAGCTCTCAAAATACCTGAACAGTGCCTGCATCCAATCAGATTGTTCAGCTATTTTGACAGCC